GTTCAGCAGCTCCACGGGCTGGTCTCGGCCAGAAAGTCCATCTGGAGGACAGAGAAAGCATTTGGCTCAGGAGCTGCTCACATCACCACGAGAACACTCACACTCAGAATCCGCACGGAGCGGCTTGCAAACCGCAAAACCACGGTTCCTTACTTTAAAAAGAGATGGTTTAATTCCGTCACAGGTTCATTTTATTTGCTGAAGCAAAAAATACAAGACCCGTCGGAGAATTACAAAAACTGTCCCCAAGTGCCACACGGCAGACACCGACCTCGGCCGCAGGGTGTCTGGCCCGGCTGCCCCAGTTCACGGGTGGCCTCCCCCGAGAGCCGGGCGTGCGGCAGGGACCGCAGCACTACATCACGGGAACGGGAGAGCCCGCCTCTCCCAGATACCACGCCGGCCTGGGCGCTAAAGGCGCACGGCCCCGGGGTGCGGCCCACAGCAGTGCCCTGGGGCGCTGGCGGGACAATGACACGCAGACATGCCTTCAGAGACATTCCTGGCCAGGTGCTCGAAATGCGAGCAGCCGTTTCTCAGGCCCACTCTCGGGCTGCCCGTGGAGCCGCTTCCGTTCCGGGCACTCGGCTGACTGTGGAGATGGGACCGGGACGCGTCCTCCAGCCAGACCTGAGGCAGGCCGCTGCGGGCTGCCCGAGGCTCTCCACGTTCTCTCAGGTAGAGAAGGAAAACTGGCCAAACGTCCAGCGATGACACTGCTCCTTAAAAGTGGCTTTGACAAGTGGTGTAGATGGCTGGCAGTAAGAGGCACGTGGCTGGGCACGCCACCGTGGCTGACGGAAGGGACGGGCACTGGTGCTGTCACAGCGTGGCCCTCAGGCCGACTGTCAAAGCACGACACAAACCAGTAACGCCGGGTCCACTGACTCCGTGACAAAGCCTTGCTCTTCATTCAAAAGGGATAACACCGCAGCAGCTTCCGAACCTTGTTACACGACAATCTTTGGAAATGTTCGAACTCCAAGGACAGGAATGGTGACCCCGAGCAGATCTGAACATGTGCTCTGGAGATGCGAAGACCATCTCAGGAAGTGGGGTGGGGGGAGGCGCCCTGCGTGCCCACCCTGGGGCTGACGGGAGCCACCCTCACTGCGCCCAGGGGGAGAGAGAACAAGGACAGCTGTCGCAGACAGCTCGGAGGCCGGATGCTGGTGTGTGCCGTCCCCTCTCCAGCCCAGCACCCCAGCACCCCAACTCTGGAAGCTCTGATCTCTCAGAGGAGTTACAGGGAGACGGCATGTTTGGGGTCAGGACAGCCATGCTCCTCAAGTCAGGAGGACTAGAGGCCAACACCAGGCCCAAACGGTACCCACTGCTGGCACCGCGGGCTGCGCCCCAACCACAGCCGCCCCAGCGACGGCCAGAACGCTGGGCTGCAAACCTAAGGCCACCAGCAGCCTCACTGTCACCCCGACAGTGACCTCAAGACAGTGATGGGGAGCGTGTCTCGAACCTTTTCCTGAAAACAACTAAGTGAAATGGACTTCGCTCATAAACGAAATGGCTCAGCTTCCAAACAAACCTCAGGACGTCCATGGGGATTTCTGTGCCCAGGCCCACTGTAGGCACTTGCGAAAGCCCGTCTGCGCAGGCGCGGGCGGCTCGGGGGCAGGCGACTGGCATCGTCCCACCGGGAGGAAGCACGTGGCTCGTCCTCCTCCACGCTGGCCCCTAACGCCCCCCCAGAAGCACACGAAGGCCTGGGAGCCGGCCCTGGTCCCCATTCAACACCCAACCGAGTCCGGCATCCAAGCGGCTGTGGCCGCAGGACCCCCCCACTTTCCTTCCGATGGCGTTCCCGAGTCTGGCTGAGGCTGCGCATCCGCCCCAGTCCTGAGGTCTGATGCTCCAAAGCTGTGTGCACGAGCGATGCACGGCCATGTCCCCCCACCAGCTCTGGACAGGAGGATGCGTTAAAGCTCCCCGCGAGCAGCTCGGGTGTGAGCTGGGGACTGCGGTGTGCTGAGTGAGGGCGTCGCCTGGGTGCTGAAGCGACGCATGGCTCGTCCACAGTGTTCCCGGGCACCAGCCTGGGGCACGTCCTGCTGAGCTGCCACAGAGAAGCTGGCCCCACGTACGAGTGAGCTGGCATGTGGAAAGGCATGCGTTTGCCGAGGGCGTGATGGGCTCCATGCGTAAACCTGAAGCCGAACTGTCCCGTCCGGTCCAGTGGGCGGGAAACGCCTGTGCTCGGTGCCCAAGGCTGGGGCTGGGCGACACGGGGACAACCCGCAAATTCAGACTCCAACGCTGACACTTTCACGTCCTCCTGCAAACGAGGCCAGACCTGTCAAGATCTGACCTGGCTCCGGCTACTACTGAGCGCCCGCCTCTCCAGAAAGGGGCCACCGTGGGAGCCTGCCTGCGAACAGTGGGACGGTCCCCAAGCACACAGGCACACGAAGGGGCCTGTCACCTGACTCCTGCAGCAGAAGGCGGGGAAGCAGCATGAGCCCACGACAGCTAGAAAGACGCCAGGGGCCCCTCCGGGAATCACTGCTCACCCGGACACGGCGCCCGTTCTCCGAGACGCCTTAAGCAGACAAGCCATGAAAGGAGGGTGACGAAATCCAAAGAACAGTCGTCTTTGCAAAGGAAGCTGGCAGAGCGGCGAGGGGCAGGCCTCATCAGAGCGGAGCAGCGCCGAGTGCCGGGGGCACCCCGAGCAGAAGCGAACGTGGCGCAGCCACCCGGAGCAGACTGGGCACAGCAAGGCGAGGCCCAGGAAACGGGCTCAGACAAGCTTCCACGCGCCCACTACCGGCTGCGGAGCCCTGGTGCTGCCCGCTGGTTCTGGCGCAGACGGGGCGGGGCTGGGGGGCGTGGCGCAGACGGGGGCGTGGCGTAGATGGGGTCCTGGGGGCAGGGCTCCACAAGTGCGAGGGCCCAGACATCACAGGGCGGAGGCCCAGGCTCAGGGCCCCGGGACACAGAGGTGCGCAGTGTCCAGCCTCCAGAGGGCTCACATCTAATGACGGAAGAAAGATGCACGTCCTCGTCGTCGCACCTGCTCGAGCGAGGCCCGTGTGTGCCGGGGACACACAGCACGTACGCCAAGTGTCAAGACGAGAAAGTTAGTCTCTTGGGCCGGAGTGCACTGGTCAGCCCAGGCACAGGCCACCTGTGCGTCCTTGCACAGTGCGGATACCAGGGTGATTTCTGGGACCACTCCCACGTCATCCACAGGACGAAGAAGCAAAGGCAAAAACTTGAGACACTAGCAAAGAGCCTCCATCTCTTCCTAGATGTACATGACGACCACTGCCACCAAGGACAGAGATGACAGCACCTGAGAAACACGCGGGTCACCTGTAGGGGGAGGTGGGGGTCGTGGGGATCCACCCCTCCCGGCACACCACCTGGTCGCTCCCTGGTGGGGATGAAGACTTGCCGCTGAGGTCAACTGTGCCATGCCAGGATGAGTCACACCAAGCATCTTTTCACATGTCTACTGGCCGTGTGGACTCAAGTTTTTGCCCGTTGTTTGCTGACTGGCTGTCTCTTGCTTACTGCTTTGGGGGATTCTGTGACAGCGTGCCGTGGATGTCACGTGTTGCAGACCGTGGCCTCCTCTCTTTGAGGTCACATGTATCAACTCTTCTTTTGAAGCTTACGCTATGTCAGGTTCCAGATGATGTTCCCTACCTGGAGGTTGCAAAGATGTTTTACGACATTGTCACCGCGAAGTCTCGTGTGTCCCTTCTGTGTGTCCCTCGCCTCTGTGTATGGCATGAGGTAGGGTGTTCTGCTTCGCCCATGAGAACAGGTGAATGTCCCGTCCATCACTCAGAAGTCTGACCTTCGCCACTGATTGGCAGCACTAGCTGTGACGAGCCAAATCTTTGTCCTACCGGCCGATTTATGGACCGCTGTGCGTAACTGCTCCAGCTGCCGTCACTTCGGAACAGTCCCTAACATCCAGCACGGCGAGAGTCCCCACCTCTCTCTCCAGAATTACCTGGGGCGACACGGGTCCTCTATGGGTCACACAAATTCCAGACTCAGCCCGACAAGGTCCACTGACAAAGGGAAAAGCAAACTCTGATGGGGCTGTGCCGACAAGGGAACCCTGGGGACACGGGAACTTCACCAGATCACATCCCCTGACCATAAACACGCAACAGCACTGCACTTCTCTCAGGAATGTTCTAGAATTCCGAGCGTAGAGGTCCTGGAGGGGTGTTTGGGTTTGACGTGAAATTCGTAACTGGCATTTTAAGCATGGCTTTGTGTCTGCTGGTGCGTAGAAACGATTACCTCTCAAGTTCTGGTTTTGTAGCTCAGCATTTTGCTCAACTCAGACCCGTTCCCATCACTGTCTGAAGTTACCTCCCTCATCCCACACGCAGACGCAGAACCCTGTCGCCTGAGTGGTGACAATTTGCGTCTTCCTTTCCAGACCGCGTGCCTTTCACTTCCCTTGCTTGCTGCATTCTGCTCACTGGGCCCTGTGGCACATCACTGCAGGCAGCAAGCGTGACACAGGACACCTTGTCTCCTTTCTGATCTTACTGGGAATGTTTCCAAGGCTTCGCCAGGAAGTGCTGTGCTTGCTGTGGGTTTCTGACGGGCAGTCTTCCACGGTTCAGAAGTCCCTGCCAGTCCCAGTTTGCCAGGACTGTTTTTAAATGTTACTGGTTTGTTTTTTTTTTTAATCAATTCATCTTAATAAATAATCCCCCTTTCCATCGGGTCATATGGTGAAATTCCTTTTCTCAAACCAACTGTGCATTGGCAATAAACCACCGTGGCCAGCCAGAGAGCTGAGGCGAAGGATCAAGACACACACAGGTGTGCAGGGTGTCCGCCAGGCCCCGCGCTCCCACTGCAGACCCCGAGTCAGAGGCCCAGCCCCGCGCTTCGGCTCGGTCCCCACGTCACCTTTCGTCACGAAAAGGAAATAACCGGATGAATCGGTAGCCTCGTGTGTGCTCAGTGGGGCTGCCCAGCGCCCTCTTCACAGTGTGGCCATGCACGCAGCTCGCTGCCACAGGCACGGACACAGGATGCAGCGTGACCC